TAGGAATCCTAAAATATTTGGTTAATGTCTTTATTCCACACAAAAAAATAATGTGAAAAGGGAAAAAGATTATCTTTGCAATGATCTTATAGGACAAAAGAAAGAACAAAAAGGGATCTTCCGTGTTTATGATAAACTAGTGAATTTGTTCGAGCTTTGTGCGATACATTAAAGAATTTAGAATTATATTCTTATGAATCAAGTCGAGATAGAGAGACAATTTTTTTTTGCTTAGAGTTGAGACTTCTTTTCCCTACTAATTAACAAAATAAATATGAAGATCAGTTTGTTAACATCAATTCATATATGTCATTCATTTATAAAAAGAAACTCAATTTTATTAAATATAAATTAGATAGACAGTATAAAAGTATTCATAGTATCCATTTATTTTTCACTTTTATCTTCTTTTAATACGGTGACATTGGCTCTACTATTTCCTACTTTTATTTGTTTTCTTCACCAAATGCATCTACATTATAATCATCAGACAATATATAGCCGGCAATAATAATAATAATAATAATAATAATAATAATAATAATAATGGTAGAAACTTTTATTCTAACCATAGGATAAATAGGAAAGTATAAGATAAAGGCAAGTAAATGGAAAAAAGATAACAGAATATACCATGTTGAGTAATAGTATTCTCTTGAGCTGTTTTGGTTTGACATAAGAGTAGAAAAGCTAATTCAAGAAATAGTGAAAGAACCAGAGTAAAAATTACATTAAAATCAAAATCCAATAATCCATGGATAATGTCTATGTACTACACTTTAGGATTTTTGCGGAGAATCATATGCAAGAGCGAAAATATCGCTGTCACAACTGTAACCAAGCCAAGCTCCTGAATAGTGAATACAAAGACAAGTAACAGGTACCGCACGACTCGTGCACACACCATGATATAATTCATCTAGTAATCCTTATAGGAGAAAAGAAAATAGTGTTATTAAGCATATAAATTTATATTGAAGTAATTATAACAAAAGAATTAACAATATCTGTAGAGATCCATCATAAGTGAACCGGCACAAACAACAATACTCTTTCGCAGCTTTGGATAACACAATGGTTTGAAGAGTAGAAAAAATGTGCTCTTCACCATAGTGAAAATGCTGAGAATGAAAATTATAACGAAATGGTTTTTAGAATAGCCAAACTCATGTGCTATAATAAAATTGCATTCTAGATCTTTTCCTTAGGCCATATATGCCTTGAGAACTCTTGTGATTCTTGAAATTTTCTTTTAATATTTTTTATATGACTGCAATATTACTCAGATAAACCGTTAAATTAGAGAAAGGATATGAAAAATATGCAATCCCATGAGATATAAAAGGTTTGTCGATGGCTAACCTGTCTGGGAGTATCATTTGGAGCACCTTCAATATTATCAGAAAGAGGCTTAGATTACAAAAAGACATGATGCAAAATAATGACGAACAAAGTTTGCAACGTACTTGTCAGATCAGGTGCTTGGCTTTGAAATTTAATCCCTTTGTGATATAACAGATACGTTGAATCTTGCAGGCCTCTGCAATACACCCAAGGGAACACAAATAACAATTGCATAAGAGTATGAATAAGAAACTAAAGAAAAAAAATAGTACTTACCGAGTGCAAAGCCATAAACCTGGTCTTCAGATATAAGAACAAATTCATCAAGCTTTTGCCTCTTCGGATGTGCTATAATGTAACGTCCATACATGTAAGTAAATTCTAATAATAAATTAAGAAGCTAACGGTAGAAACTTATGGAAGAAATTAATAGTGCCTTTATATAATTTTAAGCAATATTTTAAGCTGAAAATAAGATAAAAATGCCAAAAATTTGACAAAAAAGATAAATACCAATTCTAGCTTAAGAGATATGCCATGTCAGTATTTATTTTTCCTCTTTTATATATATATATAGACTGCGGAATGATTTTCTCCTTCTCATTTGTCGAACTCATTGCTTCATCATTCGAGCTTAGCTTGGAGCTCTTTTCTTTTCTTTTTTGTCTGAAGGGTTACTTTCCTGGAAATTTTAGTATGGAGAAGAAAAAATTTAGATTTTTTTTTGCAAAGAATTAAGAGAAGAAGGTGAATATTTGTGGGCATTAAGAAGGAGCATAGTTTAAGATTTTTGGAGTAACCCAGGAAAGTGGGAAAAAATGAACGGAGAGAGAAGAAAAAAGAAAGGCCAGTAAAGGACTAACTGTATAGGGTCAAATTTGACCCTCAGCATCTCTACGCCAGTGGGTACGCCCAATGAGTGTACGCCGACCAACGTAGCGGGTACGACTCGGCTGTAGGGACAAAAGCGACATCGTTTAGGACTCAGTGTCTTCACTAGGGAGACATTACCTGTCTTTGTAATTTTTTGATTCTTTCGAGGAAGGTCTCCTATTATATAAAGAAGACCTTCACATTGTAAAAGGGGGGGATCTGATCTAACACAACTCTCTCATTTTTCTGGCTTTCTCTCTCTATCTCTACTTCAAACGAACATATCTTATTGAGTTCGTATTGTCACTTTGCTATACTAGATCTACAACAATAATATCATCTTTGCATCTCTAGGATTATTATATTTGGTTACGATTTACCCTTTTCCTATTTTTGATTGTTTTTTAGCTTACAAAGTATATTGTTAACTTTTGAGCCAAACAGTACCGATAGTAAAGAAGGAGAAAGGAAAATATTAAGAGAAACTGAGAGGGAAAAACTGCTTTCCGAAATTAATAGCTTATTTAGGGGATAAAAAATTGAGGGGGATTACAGAGTATAATAGGAATAGAAAGAAAAAGAAGAAAAGAAAAATTTGGAATAGCAAAAGAAAGAAAATCAGATATTCATATGCTATGTATTTAATATATACTGTCATACTAATAGCGAAATATTGTTATAGAGAATATATGAAAAATCATATCCAAAGAAAACTATGATAGGTTTGTAAAATAATATTATAGAGGATGGTTATAGAGAGAATCAAGTGTTAAAACAACATATAAATAATAATAAAAAACTTACTTTCCTTTTTATGAGCAAATAAATAATAAAAAATGCAGTTCATTTAGCTTTGTTTGTGTGCGGGCGCATATACAATCAATATATAAAATTAAATTTTTGCCTGCATATGCATGAAAAATTTATTTCTAAATTCCTTGATATCGTTCACCAATTCTAAAGTGAAAAAAAATCCTCAAAAAGATCTCTTTTTTTGTTTCATGAGAAAATACAATTCATGAAAAATGCAGTTCTATGTGTTCGTGGGCACATAATTACATCAATATTTAGAACTAAATTTTTGCCTGCGTATGCATGACACGTTTATTTCTTCTATTCTGACAAATTTAATATTTGATAAATTAGTTCCAAATTCATTTATCTTTTCTATGACCGCGGGAAGCGCGAGCAAATTTATTAGCTTATAAATAATATTATTGTCACGACCCAATTCCCAAATTCGATCGTGATGGCGCCTCTCGTGAAGA